GAATAACGGATTATGCATCTAGAGAGGTGTGCCCACTTTACAACTCTACAACTGGGCTCAGCCTTGTGACGTTACCAAAATCATGTCCTGCAAACAGTGGTAAGATGAGCAGACGTGAGGCGGCTTAACCACAGTGGAGTAGTGCCCCTCCTGAGGCACACAGTTTCTCTCAATAAAGTCATGGTCAAAAAACTGCGAAGCCTTTGACTTAGAAAGCTTGTCCGAAAGTTTCTTTTATTCCAGGTAACGAGGTTCCAACGGATGTTCATGAGGGAACATGCCGTCAAAGAAGGTATCAAAGGAAATCCGCTTCCACCGCAGTTTTTCTACAACGAGGAATATTTAGGTGTAAGTTGTGCTTAACAAAATCATGGCATGTTTCGCGATGATCACATGGGCAGGGAAATGAGCAAAAACTCAACAAACTTACATTTACTGTCTCTTCTTAATTGGCTCGCCTCTCAAGTTTAACGGCGCACTGATGAAGAGTACAACGGTTATGGGTTGCCGCTCATTTTTCCACCCATCTGCTTATGGCGAAATATGTTTTTCAAGCTTCTGAGGACTTCTTGACAATTTGTATTGAAAATCTATTTCGTTCAGAATTTTGTCGATTTTGAAGAGGCCGTTGAGGATGACCGTATCCACGAATTCCTTCGGCTGACGCCGCCTAAGGTGAGCTCTGAAGTTCTGAAATCGGTGTTAATTCTATTACTAACTGGAATCTCCTCAAAGCAACAAGACCCTATTAATAGCATCTGTCTTCGAAACTTGAAGCATGCCTGCTGCCACATTTCAGCGCGTGCCATTGGCGCTCGTGTATTGGACGGATATCGATTTTGCGCGCACGTGATCGATACTGAACAAATACGCAGGCGTCGGTGAGCCGGTCAGAAATGTGACACTGTATCACTGGTATGCAGTGAGATAAGAGTTTGAATTGAAACCAACTAAAGCAATCCTATCTGTTCCCGTAACAGCTCGCTGTGTGCTATTTGGTTTGACTTATAATAAGAAGCAATAAATGCGTTGAGGAGGTAGATACAGTCCCTGGCTATGGGGTAGAAGAGGGAGCCCCGAGCGCGGCAGAAATGCGCGACAGTCAGAACGAGACATGCAGCTTTAACATGGATGACAACGCCAAGCAGACATGGAGAGACAGAACTCGCCCGAAAAAAATGGAGAGGAGGGATAAGTGCACCCAGAATCCCCATCGCCCATTTTTGTTGCGGGCGCCGGGTGTTGGGTGGTGTTGATGGGCACTAGGGCCCACCCACGCTACAGTTCCTAGAGGAGAGCTTCACTTCGTTGAGGCTGGCCGATGTCCGCAAGGTGAGCGCAGGGAGACGCCGAGCTGAACGCGCGCCAAGATCCACGCCCATTCAAGAATGGTAAGCCCCAAACTGAGTTATGGCAAAATCCCCCGTTTTTCTATCAGTCACGCACTTCATTTTCGTGGCTGCTGCTCCGCTTCCCTAGGCGAAAAAACCAACTCTCCCATTACTTGAAGCTTTGCAGGAGGCCATTCTTGAATGGAATTGCGTTCAAGGAGATTAGTCTTTTGAACCCGGCTGTTTGAGGAAGAGTAAACTGCTCTGAGGGCACAGATTTAGTGCCTTCGATAATGCTTACTTCGTGGAGGGTGGCGATATTCACGAATGTTGGTATGCCAGGCCTTAATCGCCCATGGCTTGTCTGGCGTTGTTCAGAGGAGGGCGGGACAAGTGAGATGCGGAGAGCTAAGAGCAGCAATGCCCGCCCATAATGGAGCGTAGGCCAGTAAGGAGGCGCTGTTGTAGGCTCAATCACCCACGATGATATATGATAGGCGGGCACTGTGAATTAGATTGTGCTTTGGGCTTCTAAACATAGTGAACAACTTTTGCGGCGTGACCTCCAGGAGTTTTCACACGTTGTTACAGATTTCTAACCCTTGAAGTGGATGAGTAGCTCTTCGCTGGCCCAGTGGCCCATCTAGAAAGCATCAAAACCGCCAACAATTAGACTGGGGCAGTTTTGTAAGTTCATGGGTATGGGACCCAACGGTAATTACCTGACTTTCGGAGCGCGCTGCCCTCACAGCCTTCCTCCGAGGAATTACCAGGGAATGGGGAAAAGTGTGGAAACAAAAACACATGTAAGACTGCAACCAGCGGTGTACTCTGCGCTTGTTCTTCTGCGCACACGGATGGGAAAAAGGCAGTTAACATAAGAACGCATGGTCTCAGAAAGAATATGAGATGATTCGATTAAACTGTAACAGTTTTTTTTCTAACCTGTTTGGTGTGTTTTCCTATACTTACATACTTATCCAGTGCAAAGAAAACGCTGAAGACAAGGAGAATCACGTCGACAAGGGTGAGCTGTTATTGTTATGTCATGCCAGATTATATCAAAACTCCACTCCATATCCGGGAGACTGAGAGGGCGTGGCTGCCAACTTCATTTGAACTGTAAAACGGAATGCATCCTTCGTGAGATGTTTTCTTCTGAGCAAATTCAGATGTGTCACACATATCGATAAAGATCATGGTTGTCACGGCAATATCTCAACCGAAAGCGCTCCCCCTTTATAGGATCGTACTCAGCCACGCCCTCCCCCCTTCCGAGGTATGAGGTGTATGCATGTCGCTAACACTGTTGCTATTGCTCATTAATGTGTATTCTGTTGCATGTGTTAGTTGATCTACAGGTGCCATGTACCCTTTAGAACCCACTTTTTGTAGTATGGGTCAGAGCCTGAATTCCGCTGGAAGTGCGTTCTTGCTAATTAATAAACTCGAACTTGCAGGTTCTTGCAATATTTCAATAGGAAGAGTCGGAGAAAACGCCTGGCTCCTATGCTGGAGGCGTCTGTATGCTGCAGGAGCCCAGCACGGGTGTCAGGCGTTTTCGCCTAACTTTACACCAGCATTCAGGGGGAGAAACCGCTTCTGAGAACAAATTCCGAACAAATTCACCGAAGATGACGAATTTTTTCAGAAATTTAGTCAACTTACGAAGTGTGACGTCATAAAAGGTGTATGGTGCCGACCTTTACTTCATTGATCAGTAGCTATGTGGTGCTAAAGATACTCAATCTGGCCAAAGATCGTTCGTCAAAATTTCCAGATTTGTGCGATTACCGTAGAGACTAACTGAGCTCCACCCTGCTCAGCAGTTTGGTCAAGGTCCAGAGTTCCAAACAATTGACTCTAAGACTCCAAAGTGTCGAACGCCATTCAGAGATTTCCACGAGATGTAGCTCGAATGGCTTCCGGTACTTCGTAGTCTCAAAGGGCTTTCAGCTTTTTGCAGTAAGAAAATTGCAGAAAATTGACGTAGTCCATGATTTTGGGGGCAATCAACCAGGGATTTTGCGGGTTATTGTGATTTTGAATCTATAAACCCGCAATTTTTATCGCTAGAAGGGAAGCAGGACAACTTCTTCACCTGTCAGCTTCATCTGAAACCCAATTACTTTCACACGAAAAAAAGCATATTGACAGATTTTTCGGAACGAATAGTTGCACTCCATCTTTGCGCTCTTATCAGGGGCTATCAAATAGAGCGTTTTCATAATCAGCTGTATTATTGCCTAGAACAGTCGTACTATAGCGCTAGGTTGTTCCTCAACGATGAATAAATGGGATTTTCAGGCAAGTTCAGCCGTACAATGTACAACCTCCCATTCAGAACTGCATAGACTTTCTCTCTAAATGCTCGCAATATCGGTACTGTATTCAAGGCAGTGGGAACGATGGCTCAGGCGGCCTAAGGCGTTTAGTCACCCCCTACTCAGCTCTCCCACCAACGACGTTGCCCGTAATCGCCTGTCCCATTGAGCCCACTGCCTTTAAGCTTACATTTTTGAAGTCTTAGTTCTAAGACTATTTAAGAGGCAGTGCTTTTGAAACAAGAACTACCAGGTAAATAGGGGAGACGGGCAAGAGTATCGTAAAATGCCGCTCCGCCGCGCGCGGCGATCTGCGCGACAATTTCTTTAACTCGTGTTACCTGTCGATTGGAGCACCGGACTTTATGTAGACCGCGTCATCCTAGACATTCATGACTATTTTCTGTTCTACAATGCCTGTTATCGTCATCTACGACCTGGAATCATCGCCATCTGTGAGCGTGACGTCGCACGCGACGCCCATCAGCGCGGCGAATTCACCATTCTCTTGTCACATACCCGGTAAATAGACTGAACAATTAAGCTCCATATTAGAGTACAAAGAAAATACGAAACAATAAAATAATCTATGGATAGACTGATGCTCTCTTTCCGCATGGCTACTGATCACCTACGTTTCTGCTTTACCTTCGCTTACATTATAAAGAATTGGAAATAGCGTTATTGTGTGGAGCAGCTCCTTCCATTCAAGGCGCAGCACATGGTGATCGTACGGCTGGACTTAGCCCCATCAGTAGGGCTTCCACATTGTGACGCTTCTCTTTTTCGTGACCGTGAAAGAGAGAAGCACACCACTGGGGAAGGGACGCTGGCAGGCCTGACTCCGCCCATTCGACCAGCATGGCTTACGGCTTTGTGTTGTCTTCCAACTAACCTGCTCAATTGGAGTTAGAAAGCACCGCTTGTTGGACATTGTCTCAGTCATTATGCAAACAATTAAGATCTAGAAATATTGTGTTTATTAACAAGTATTTTCAGGCATCAGAGCCGGAGGAGAGCAATGAAAATGAGAAAGATGTGAGTTTTTCTCTCTTTATTATTTCTCAAATAATTGAAGAGCTCAACAGCTTCGATCCTAAAACAGGCCTTCCACCAACACCTCTTTTCTCTTACTTAGCCCCCCATAACAGCAGAGTTGCTGTCCGCTTGACGGCCTCCTTTTGTTTGAGGATAACTGGAGAAACTTTGATGAGAAAAGGGGAAATTAACTGGATGTTGGGGATTAGCTAAAGACGCACTGTGGTTTGAACTGTACCAGAAGAGGAATGTTGAAATGAGGGCAGGTGAAGTGGGCGCGTGCGGGGGAGGCGTGGACTACTGAACATCCCCATAAAGACACGACATGGCATGTACCTGGTCTATTAGCAGGAATACTATTAATGTAAAAAAAAAAAAAAAAAAGTAGATGTTAAATTCCTTAGCTGGGACGCATCCCACATATTCAACATATGGAATATACCCTCGTCATCCGGGCAGTTGATTAGGGCGGTCGTCAACGGGCCGCAGCGCGTGCCAGGAACTATTTGCTTTTTCCAGGCTAATTTAGTCATTTTTTCCAACTTTTCACTGTTTTGGCTACTTTTCCCAGATTAGCAGCTCCTTATCTTCACAAGGTGGAAAAATGACTAAATTAGCCTGGAAAAGCAAATAGTTCCTGGCACGCGCTGCGGCCCGTTGAGCAAGACCGCGCCGTAATAACTGCCCGGGGCGATGAACGAGAATAGGTCCCAGTAAGTGAACGCAAGTTTGGCCTACAACAAGCGAACTGACCGCCGAATGTACCTAACTCATGCCTGGGACGTCCCCCTCGTATCGTGGGTCACTTGGCCGTTGTAGCGACGGGTTATCCGGGAGGAGAGGAGAGCTGGAAGAGTGAATCTGAGCGAGAGATGAATCTAGAAATCTGGCTAACTAGAACGCAGCGTCAAGAGGTGATGTAAAGCTTACCTGCCGAGAATGGGATTCAACTTGGAATATTTAACTTCTGGAACCGGTCCCTATGGAGCGCGCGCGCCCCAATGGTAAGGCTATCGCGCTTGTTACGCACTTCCCTCACCAATAAGTTATGTTAAAATATAACGAAAGCTTCTGGATGACCGGGGTTCGTTACCCCGTAACCCATAGTGCAAACGAGACGGAGCCTGCCCCTGTGGGCCGTTCAGTGATGAAGGCAACTATAACGCTGGGTCGAGACACGTTAACGAAGAAAGAATGGAAGCATAGCCGGGGTACGAGCGCGATGAAAAATGCAGGTGCCTAAGGGAGCGGGAGGAGAGAGAAGGTCCCATACAGTGAGAGACGGCCGTAGACCGATTAGCCGAGCAGGACATTTTATTTTTTTTTCTCTCGAAGCCGCTTTTCACGATGTGCAATGAGCTAATTTGACTCAGCTGTAAGTGACCCTGTTGAAGGGAAGAGATGGAAAACGAGAGCTCTGAATGTTCCTATTATCCATTAAGCTGCGCGCACCGAACCAATACATCCCCATCACCTCCTGTGATCGGAGAAAGGTTTCCTTTGAAAATCTGTCGCGTTCGGGCCTCAAGAGTCCCCCGGGTTGCGCCACGGACCGAACTCCAATTCGGGATTCTAATCGCATCAGAATGCGACATTCATCGTTTGCAAAGGCCAGTCGTCGTAAGTGTCAGTGTTTTTGACCTCCTGAATAAGTGTGGAACCATTTGCAGACGGAGAGGAATGAGAGGCTTAATGGAAGCGGTGTTGGGATTTGATCCGCGGATCATGTGAGGGCTAAACCGCTCCGTCTGACCTTCGCGACACTCATCCCCGTTAAGTTGTAATGAATCTGGCTGCTCTGGGGAAGAATAGAGGTATAAATCCTTAAAGAAATGACCCATTTTTGGCAAAGAGGACACGTCGTGAGTTGGGGATCCTTGGCGAGTGGAGTCGTAATTGAACGCTGGAGAGAGCGGGTTGTGTGTCATTTGCCTTCAAAAAAAAGTTTTGGTCACTGACTTTCCTCGGACTTTTATGCGCTACGATCTCTGCCCCCCCCCTCGCTCGACGGTAGTCTTTTTTCATTTTTTGGGGGGAAATAGGGAAAAATCCGAAAAAAAGTAGAAAATTGGAAAAGTTCAGGAAGATGGCCGCTAGGATGGAGGGATGCCACTACGAGGAAGAAACTTTGAGGGAGCCGCATTTTGCAAAATTTTCCCTCATCGGCATAACGTGCTCTAATTGAAAAGGATCCCCATGACTCGTACACCGCCAATCCCTACTGGTGAAAAGGGGATCGTTTTGCGCTAGTCACTTGATTTTGCCTCAATTTGTTACTTGAGGTACCCCATTAAGATGCGTATGGCCTTACCAGGATTTTAAAGAAATGACTGAATTGTATTTGAGTCAAGGAGTCTCATCTCACGCGTTTCTCCCTCAGAACAGCTGCGAGCCCCTTTTCACACCTACCGCAGTGGGCAACGTAAGCAACAAATTGCATATGTAGGAAACGTTCGCGGTGGCTAACCACCGCACTACACTTTCATTACACTTTCCTCGCCAAACCCACCAGAAATTGGCGTTGGGTACCTCCGGCTCAATAGGTAGAAAAGCCATAAAATAAAACGCAGTGAAGTGCTTGCCTCTCATCGATATTCTTTGGAATGCCCCATGCTTTTTGGATCTTTTCAGAATCGTAGTGACTTTTATGTGATTTGACTTGTACAACAGCTTGTGGGAGACAGTCGTCGGAAATGCCAAGCTCTTGGAATCCCATACCAGTGTGGTACAAGCACTTTGAGGGTAGAGGGTAGCATGATCTAGGCGGGGTCGATCCGCGACTTCAACGTCGTAATCACAGTATTTCAGTTACTGGAGTCCTGACCCAACTGAGTAATCTCACGATTTCCAACTACTGAGAATGAGATTTGAGTCGGTGGTTTTTCTATGGGTAGATGAACCTAGATGTTTTGAAAAATTTGACCGTGAGCTTCATAGAGACTATTTTGGCTCATTGACGGAAAGATATAATGGGAAGGTCTTTACTCCAGCTTTTCAGGGTGAGAGGAGTGCAAATATTGAATGATTTGCCCAGCGAACAATGCAGTCACCTAGCGCTCTAATTTATCCCTATGAAGTCACCTAGCGCTCTGCCCCTATATAAAACCAGTGGGGCTGTTGAGTGTTCGAAATTAGATTTAAGGAATCATTTGGGAGGTTGAGTCATGTTTTACTTATCCTTTCAAACAACCCTGGCGCTACTTGGTAAATCGAAAACACTTAAGCCTGAAGCAGCCTGGAATCGATCCCCACTAGTGTGCACAAGTAGCCGCGCCTCATACCTCCAAGCTACAGTTTTGTTCGCTGCGGCCTGTCAGTGGGCTAGGTTTGGAGCGAAGCCAGCCTGTTCTGCACCAATTGTAGAAGCTGGAAGGCGACCACAATTGGTGGAAAACTATCTGCACCGCCCTCCAAACCATCGCCCGTAACACAGCCCCGAAATGGCAACGAATAAGGTCTGTATCCCGTTCACGTCAGCTGCTTTCAGTCCGTTCATGCGAATATATAACAAACACTATTAACAACACATCCTCTTAGTATGGCCTTATGTCGCGCTTCTTCTTATTTTGGAATATCCCGATTTTGTGTTCAGTTATTTTTGATTATTCACATGTCCAATCTTGGCGTGTGCTAAATAAATAAACAATAAATAAATAAATAAATAAATAAATAAATAAATAAATAAATAACTTTCCCCACTACCTCTCAACTATAGGGCCTTTAATATAATAATGAATTGATTTCAGGACAAATCGGTCAAGAAAAACGAAAACGGGGTAGCGGGTACACATGACGAAGGCGAGGGCGAAGACGAGGAAGAAGAAGGTGAAGAGGAAGGTGAAGAGGAGGAAGGTGAAGATGAAGAGGAAGGAGAGGGCGAGGATGAAGAAGAAGGAGAAGACGAAGAAGAGAAGACTGTCGATCACGTATTCACATTGCCAACATCTGCTAAGGAAAAAGTTGAGAAAGAAGAGAAAAAAGAAGAGAAGAAAGAAGAACAGAAGACTAAGAAGAAAGAGGAGAAAAAGGAGAAAGAACCCAGTGCAGAGGTGAGCCTTTGAATTCAGAGTGTTAGTTGCCCTGCTAAAACACTAGATTTAGGTGGAAGAAACGGCTGTGATACGACTAGGCGGCAATACAGCGGCAGAAGAAGAAACTAAAGATGAAGAGTTAGATGAAGAAGAGGATGAAGGTGAAGAGGAGGAAGAGGGAGAAGATGAAGAAGAAGGAGAAGGAGAAGAAGAAGATGAGGAGGAATACGAAGAAGAAGAAGAGGCCGAATGATCGATTCGACTTGATGACACCTATAGTCATTGATCAGTAGGACTCATCAAAGGCACATTCCGCGATAGACAAGTAGGCGGTGACAGAGAGCCACCACTCCCTTCTCATCAATGCAACTCTCACTCCAAGGCAAAAGAGGGAGAGCTAATGAGACGGTGATCTGTCTCCGCCTACACGAGGAGCGCGGAGTATGCCTTTAAAAGCGTTTATACCTGGAGATCTGTAGTTAACCTCGTGGGAAGTCAACTACAAGTCCGCCAAGTATAGGCACAGTATTAGTAAGTTCTTCAAATTCGCACCAGCATTCGTCGGGTATCCAGGGGTTGTCAATTTTCAATCTATGCAAAGTTTTCCATTGCCATTTCTATTTTCTAATTGTTGAGTTTTTATAAATAATAAGTTTTCTGCAAGTTTTCTCATCGAAATTTACACAGCGCTTTCAATTATGAATCCAGTCTTCTTGTACCGATTTGTCACTTTTGCTCTATTAATTTATGTGTCTATAATTTGCCAATTTGTCTGTAACTCTGTGCGTGTACATATGTAACAATTAAAGAATTCATTTATTGATCATTATGTGAGTGAACTACAATATTATAACTAAAAACAGAGAGACCGGCAGAAATCGTCATTACATTACTTTTCAAAGAAGTCTAAGGTCAAAACGATGCTACCGTAATCTGATTGAAAACACGACACAGCAATAGAAATCCAAAACGTAGCCCTTAGAGGGCATAATCTTCCCGTCAAACATTAGAAATCTTATGGAAAACGAAAAAAAAAAAACGCCAGAATGATTTTGAGGGCCAGCTAGTTGGGCGGGGGGGGGGATCGAAAACATCTTGCTTTGTGCCTGCGTTCGTGTAATGCCGAGACTGGAACAAACAAACAACTTCTCGCGTGACGAGAATTGCAAACAAGTTAAGGACGAACAATGAGATAATGTGTGGCAAGAGAATCGTAATTTCATGGGACGTCGTCGTGCGACGTCGCGCGCTGCTAATGCGACGCATTTCAGGTTGGTAATTGGATTCAGAGCAGACAATGGATGCTTCAAATGACATAAATATCTTAAAAATGTCCGTTGTTTTACATAAAAATTCTATGCTCCGATCGAAAGGGTGGTGCATATTAATGAAACGCCGAGCCCACTGCCGCGCGCGACGAAGCGACAATTTACGATTCTCTTAGCCGTCTCCCTAGCCGCGCCGGCGCCGCCATTTGCCCCACCCCAGTCGTAACCCCGATGTGTAGATCCTCAGCCAGCTCTCGAATGAAACTTTTGCTCTATTTGTGCACTGTTTCCTGCGAAAGCAAAGACTCGCGTAGTACATTACAAAGTAAAAAAAACACGATAGATGGAAAAACACCTCCCACAGCTCCACTACCTTCTTTGGAAACGATGCACAAAAAATGAGAACATAACAATGAAACCCCGAAAATTGACCGAAAGAACTCTTATAACAATCTCCAAATGTTAGCAAATTACTGAATACTTAAATGACGAATATTTACAGTCAAAACACTACAAAACTAAATCTACCCACAAATCTTCATGGCAATATTAATCGGTTCCAAAGTATTTCATTGCAAAGCTGTACGGTACTCCTGTCGTCACATCCGACGTGATAACAGTAACACGTGGAAACTTCTTGCAAATGGTTTTTATACCTAAAATCAAAAAGAATAAAGTCTTTGCCGTTGATCAGTATCTTTGTGGGATGCGGCACGCATTCTACTTCCATTCAGAATCGTAGTGGCTTATTGAATGCGATGTGGCCTATACAATGACTTGCGGGGCCAGCCGATGTACAAGTCCGTGCTTTTATCCTCCGAACAAACCTGGCACTAATTTACCGTTTTTGGAGGGTAGAGGACTTAGCTGGCCTGGGCGGGAGCCGATTTGGGATTTGACCCACTAGCCACGCACGGGGTGAGCGTGCCACTTGCCACTACACTACCTCCGCCTTGTCTAAGAAGTATAAAAACGTTATGCAATTCTGTCGCAGGTATCGCGAGGTGCATTCTCTATCCGGAGCAAGATGATGACGTGTCACATATCACATCAATGACGAAGAAACCTGTATTGTTCCGTTGGCAGTGACGTTTCTATACATGTTATGAAACGCTAACATGTTATGAAACATCAATGGCGAGTCATCCAGGGTAGAGTAGGATCGGTGGAAGAATACCTCGGGAGGGGGGAGGGGTAAGGTCGCATCTACCTTTGAGAATTTTTTTGCGGTTGGTCGGTTGTTGACATTTCTCAGCTTTTTGATCAGTTTTTACCGTCTCATGTTCGTTATTACCTTACACCCCCCACCCCGGGGCACATCGTTGTTGTGGATTCTCCAACACGGGGATCGTATTTGGTCGCTGGAAGAGAGAGGGGACGTATATGGCCTGAGAAAAATTCTTTTGGGACTATTTACCCTTTACTGCCCCAACCATCCAGAATTGAGCCATTTTCTGACCGACTTTTTTCTCCGTGGACAGATTTGGCTCAAATGTTGTCTCCTGGGGTATTTTGACCTCCTGAATACGAATATGACATTCGCTTAGCCCGAAACTTTCTGGCGCCCGCGCCACAAGCGCCGGTGATTTGGGATATTTTGGCGCCAGCGCCTGTAGCGCGAGAGCCAGGAGGTTTCAGGCCGAGCAGATGTGATATTCGTGTTCAGGAGGTCAGACTACCCCTGAGAACAAGTTTTCAGCGAATTTGGTGATTTAAGGTATTTTGGCGCCGGCGCCTGTGGCGCGGGCGCCAGGAGGTTTCGTGCCTAGCGGATGTGATATTCATGTTCAGGAGGTCAAACTACCCCAGGAGACAAATTTTCAGCCAATTCTGCCAACGCAGAAAAAAGTCGGTCAAAAACTGGCCTGTTTTCGGAAGATTGGGGCAGTAAAGGGTAAATAGTGCCACTCTTTTCGAAAGTTGATTCCTCTTTTATCGTGGTTATTCCTGTCTCACGTGTACTATTTACCCCCCCCCCTCCACTCGACAACAAAACAACAAAATTTCTGGGTAAAAAAAAGAAGCGGGAGGGGGGGGGGGGTCGTATCAACTTCCTAAAAAACGGAGGTGGTCGTACGGTCTCGACCGAAATCCCTAACTAATGATGTGCCCTGCCCCCACCCCCAACGAGTTGCCTGCGCAGATTACCAGATCAACGTTCCATCCGTAGTACATGCTTATCCTAGGAGTAACTGACAGAAAATAAGAACTTACTATGAGGGGTGATGAACAGAGTTGTCAAGTAAATGTTCTCTTCTTCCACTTTGGAATCCATAAGTGCACTAATGGCCTTCAACACTGTCGTTCCAGTGCTGAAAAAAACATCATCGATAACGAACAAAAACTTGCATGTTGCGTAAAAACTAATTTATCCAGCTAACTCTAGCCTAAAATCATGGGAGGAGGTGAGCGCTATAAGATAGCCCGCAGACCGCGCAATGCAACACTAGCATCACTTGTTTCAATGAAGAGACTGCTTTTTTCACGGTTCACATTAGTAAGAGTATGTTTTTGGACCCAAAAACAACCTATTCGTTCTAATCACGAAAATAAGAAGGTGCAAACATTCGTGCATCTCCGCGGTCCGCAATGGGGACAGCATCTATTGGAATTTTATAATTCCTTCTACGCTAACAAGGTTGCTAGGCTGAATTTTCATTATAGGCCCGAAGTTTCGACCAGATCGTCGTCCTCAGAGGCTGGATCCACCACGGCATGAGCGTAACGAGGCCACTCTGCTAGTTGTCAGTAATAAATTTCAGCATAGAAGGATATTATGAAATTCAAGGCAATGGAGAGGTTATAGGAGGTGAGAAGCTGGAGAGAATTTATTGGTTCTAATTGATTCATGACAGAGCAACTGCTGAAATCTAAAAAAAGGCGCAGCGCGCTACAGCAGTCAGGTGGGGAAGGAAACCCTACTTGGCAGCTGTAGGCCCCTTCTCGGACTTCGCCCACTCCCCACGCCTTTCGGCAAAAACCCTACTCACTTTGGCTCACAATCGCTTCTTCGCACCGTCTCCTCTTGTAAAGAATGTGGAGGTGGTACTGATTTCAAACGTTTTGGATGCACTACCCCAAAATGCCCTATGCCCTATCTTCTCAGAATAGCGCCTTAGAAAGATACTATTAAGTAATCGAGATATTTCACACCGTCCAAAGATTTTTATAGGCCATTAGAGCCAATTGAAGAATAACCTAAGTGGTTCCTTGAAAGAGACATTTTCAGTGTTGATATTAAGCCCATTTGGGAATATTACCAACGGCGGCTGGTTTGACCCAAGTCAAGAATTAAGCAACCGTATGCTCTCTC